AGTTGCCATTAGGAGAAAAGTGGTCTTCCCAGTCTGCATCAGAGTGATGTAAAGAGACATACATCTCTGTTTTACTAAGCCACTGAGAGTCTAGGATTTATTTTTTACCATATTGTAGTCTCATGCATCCTATTTAATGCAAAAATAGACTGGAAGATGAGGCCAAAAAAATAGGCTACACTGACTTTGACCAAAGAAACAAAGGAGAAAGAGAGGGTAAGTGCATGAAATGACAGCGAACACACTTGAGCTTGTTTGTACACTGGTGAAAAGAGCCAATAAAGTAAGAAATTAACAATGTAAAGAAGAGAGGAGATCATAGGTGGGTCAGTTTTCATGCAGGGAAATGAAAGACTAAGATTAAAAACAAAAATGAAGAAGTCTGGGAAGGAGTGTGCAAAGAAAAAAGGAGAAAATAAAGAAATTAGATGGAAAGATTATTAAAAGTTGTAGAAAATCTAACAAGAATAAAATGGACCACTTTTGCCTATCTTCTGATAGAGGTATAATCAAGGGAATTTCCAAATGACTTGAGCTTGTATTAGCCTTCTCTCACATACTTAAATTTATTCAACTTTATCCCCACAGACCACACTTAATACCTATTCTTAAGGTATACTAAGCTTAATATCTTCTAAATCTTATGTGCTTTTAATGCATTTCTGAGCAGAGTTACTCATGCTCCTTGCACACTAGCAATATCATAAATTAGAATTGGGAATTACTGAGATATGAGTTTACCAACTTGCGCTGGATGAAAGTCCAACAGAATTAAGCACGGGTTTTATAGGAAGGTATTTTGTTTGAATTGAGTACCAAACAGAAGAAAAAGGTATATTTCATTTGGAAAAAAAGTTTTAAAAAATAATTTACAGAAAAGTACCATATGCTTTGAATTAAAGAGACTGAAAGGGAGGAATCAAAGGAGGGAAGGAAAGGTGCCAGGTCTGAAATTTTGGTAAGTTGTAAAATACCTCTCCCTCCTATTTCTGCTCTCTCCCATTAAATTCTTAAACCAATAATGACCAGATCAGTGGATAATTGGGCATGCAAATTCACTGTTCCCAAGAAATGAGTTGATAGATTTGGAAATATTAATTTATTTCACATGTGCCAGTATCACTCTCTAAAATCAAGTGATAATTATCATGTCTTGTCCTCAAGAGATCAGTCTTTAACTCTTTCCAGTATCCTATTTTAAAAGCACAGAGTAATTATTAGTTTCTTCATACAATTGGTAATCAAACCCTCTATCTTCCTTTCCAATATATCTTATATCTGCCCATAGTGTATCATACTCTCTTTCAGCCCTTCATCACCTTATATCCAGATTCTCTAGGTCTTCAGAGTTCCCAGCCCTCCAGTCTATCCTGGATGCCTTCTTAAAGTACTATTTTTATCATGTAATTCTCAGAATTAAAACTTGCAGTGCCTTTCCGTTGTGTATAGTAGAGAGATTATTTACCTAGGATTCAGGGACGGGCTTCAAGGGGATTTTTGAGGGCATTGAAATTCTGTGCAAATTTTTTTATGCTGTATATTATTTTGCTGGTAAAAATATCCAGCTTTCTCATATCCTATGGGAAACTCTAAAAAAGTTCAAGAATCACCAATATATAGAGCAAATCCAAACTCAATGACCAGCATACAAGAAGTAATATCAAGCTTGCATTTTACTAGTGGCCTCTAAGTCAGATCTTCTAATGGGTTAGTTCTCCTCATCATATTCATTCACTTATTCATCCACTCAATGAACATTTCTCGAGCACTTTTATGATCCAGACATGATTATGGACACAGAGGAGGCATAAGTAAAAGAACAGTTTCATCCTTAAACTATTTCTAAGCTCTTATCAGAACACACCTCTCGGGCAGATGGGGAATTAGGTCTGTGAGCAGGCTGGGTCTTTCAGGAATTGAACAAATTATCAGAGTGCAGTAAGAGAAATGGCCCTTAGGTGTCAAGAGCTAGAGGGGGAATGAAAGTAATTTTCAAAGAGATCCATCTAACACATCAGGTTCAAAGGAGTGTGTGGGCGAAGAATTAAAATCAGCAGTAGCAGATTCCAAAGTTCAGCCAAGCTATATGAAACCAATGAATTCAAGAAGATAAGCAGAAAATGGAACATTAAAAAGAGACTCTGGAGTGCCCATACTTACAGCCAGACTCCTTACCATGGAGCCTCCAGATGTACCAGTGAGAAAGGACACTAAAGTGTGCTGAAAGAGTCCTAGAAGCTTTACAGCTGTGGTCACACATAAACTGTCCCTTCAAAGAAGAGCAGGATTTTGTCAGATGGACAAAGGGGAAGGCAGGATAATCCATAAAAGTAGCATTAAATTCAAAGGCCCAGAGACTTGACACAGAGTTTTTTGAGGAATGAAAAGTAGTTTAGTACAAATAGAGGTGTTGGGTAAATTATTTAGTTACAAGTAACCCTTGTATATAGATATATAGATAGTTGACATTCCAAAGGAAAATCAGATCTGTAATCCAGAATGTTAGAATAACCAGAGTTTACTAAATCAAGCCCCTTTATTTTACAGAAAAGAAACTCAGGTTTGGGGAGGATATCTGTCTCACCCAAGTTAACTGACAGCACAGTCAACACTACATTTCTCATCTGCTAGTGTAAGGTTTGTTTGATGTATGCCACACAGCCAGCTCTATAACCTGATCCAAACCATTTGGTCTCATACCAGAATTAGAGGAAAAACCATTCATGACTATAAAGCCAGAGAGTAGGTGGGGAAATGGTAATATTTCACGTTAGCAGTTTATAATACTGAACACCTTTGGAGATTCTAATAATAAAAAAGTGTGAAGACACAAAAAGGGCGAGGTAATCCTACCATCTCTGCCCATACCAGAATTAGGGCCTAGCATTGTGTCTGGCAACTAGTCAGTGGTGTGCTGGTAAATATTTAACAACCAGCATTCAAAGCAGGAAGGGTGGAGACTCATTTGTAGGGTTTTCCAATTTCAATGATGTAAATGTTTCCTTCATGGCCAATTTTAAGCTACCAGCGTGATGTAACTGAGATGCTAACAATTGGCTCTTAGGAGTCAGTACAAGCTGAATCAAATGTACCACTGTTGGTAGATGACAATAAACACATAATAAATCCATCAACAACCAACCAACACCTATAGATCTCCAGCCTCCTCCTGGTTTCAGTGAAAGTTTAGCCAGGCCTGCCCATTTGTGGCAAACAAAATGAAATAGTGAATCTATCTAGCTAACAAATGATGCACTTAATAAAAAATATATAAAGAGTTGAGAGGTATCTGGGTGGCTCAGTGGTCAAGCATCTGCCTTTGGCTCAGATCATGATCCCGAGGTCCTGGGATGGAGTCCCACATCAAGCTCCCTTCAGGGAGCCTGCTTCTCCCTCTGCCTAGGTCTCTGCCTCTCTCTGTGTCTCTGTGAACAAACAAATATATACACATATATACATATATACAGAGAGAGAGAGAGAGAGAACAAGATGAAAACCTGACTCTCTAGTACAAAAGCACTAACCTCCTCCCCACCTCAGCTCACTACCTTGAGCTTGACCCTGCTCCCCAGTGGTGGTGTTGCTCATCACACTTCTAGGAACAAGTGTGACAAAAGCATTGGCCAGAACCAACGGATAGATTTTTTTTTCTAAGTAGCTAAATCATCTAGACTTGATTCTGAAATTATGTTGCGATTAGACAGATGGAAGTCATGCATAAATCAATGTCAAGTGTGACATTCAGAGGTAATACCAAGCAATGAGAGGAGGCTATGTGGAAACTTGTTGACGTTCACAAAGCAACTGATAGAAAAGCAGAGGCGTATTCATTACTATTAATATCATTACTGGTATTGCACCTTTAATGTGGTTCAGTCTTTAATGTGAATAATAGGCTCTGGATAAAGTACTACCGTTTGGTGTCTCTCTAGTGGCTGAGCCATTTATTGCCTGGCCATGACAAAGTGAGTATTTGAATGGTCCTTTAAGGATAGGCATTCAAAGGCTAGAGAATCATGCTGGGGCTTCCTCTGAAAGCTTTTACCACTTAATCAGCCAGCTGGCACTTCTGTAACACTCACTGAGATGCTTTCTGGTTCTCCTTTTAGCTTTTCCCTTGTATTCTCATTTCCTAAATTAACTTTGAACCAACCGGGCCACACTGGCAGCTCTCTGCTGCCCTCTTCTGTCACCAAATGGTAATGACTCTAGTGGCCCCATCCGTGGGACAATTCAAGGTCACCAGGATTTTTCTCCCTCAAAACCATTTATTCTCCGTTCTTTACCTTCCAGCTCCAATACGTTTCTGTGAACTGTTGACACCTCTTCCTGCTTTGTGCTCTGGCTACAGAAACAACTACCTCTCCTGGATTCTTTCATAACTCCTCTGTTGATACTCGTGAGTCCTTTCCTAAATTTCCACTTCTTTCTTATTAATAATGGATATCTTCAAACAGATAATTCAAGACATGTTTCTTTTACCCTACATTGACCCCTAAAAGAAAATCATCCCCTTAAACATTTTCAAACAGTCTTATCTGAAGTTATAGTTTTCTATTACAAGACCTAACATTTCTATATTTCTACTACAAGACCTAACACTCCTTTATTGTTCACTCTTTCTTTTCATAATCCTTGTTTATATAGATTTCTATGATATGGAGTTAATAGTTTAGCTAGCTGGTCTGTCCCTGGCATTAAAATGACTGGAGTATAAGATCCAGACCTCTCAGAGGCAAATTGTGTAGATCTTTCTGAAAAAAAATTAAAATATTACTTACCATGTGAATTTCCAACAAAATTCTGAAAGTTCATCAAAACTAGAAAAATAATAGTTAATCACAACTAAAATCAGACAAATATGTATACAAACCAAGTGATAGGGGAAGTAGTACTATTGTCTTGGTGTGGGCATTGGCAAAGGGTTTGCTATGACAACTCATGCCCTAGTTCATGTAGCTATGAGTTGAGGTTTGCCAAAGAGAAAAGATGATTCCTACCTCCTGGAATGCTGCTGAGCTCAGAAATATTGAGGACAGGCTTGATGACTTCTTTAAGTTCCATTTCAGTCCTAAAAATCTAGTGATCTGCAATTACAGGATTGCAAAAAATATTAGTAGAACATGGCAGCACTTAATCAATGGCATTTAGGCAGAAAGAGGATGTTAACCATGTTATCTTCACTGGCCTCTGCACCCCTTCCCCTGTGCAACCCCAATGTACAACTGTGTAATTCACAAACACAGATATGTGCTAATTATTCTATTTTCTAAAGCTATGGAAAGATTCAGTCTGCCAGTATTAGTTACAAAATGGATGATCTATTCAAAATTAAGTTCTAAGCTTATCCTCTCTAAATTCATCAATAATAATAAGATTTTGGTTCATTTGAACATAAATGCAGCTGAGTGTCTGAAAGCAGGATTTATTAAAATCCCAACCCAGGTTATTACTGAATATGTTGCCCACATGTCTGACATTACTTTTCTAAAAGTAAATTAACATTTACTCAGAAGTGAGCTAAAATGAGTCCACAATGTAAATGAATCACCTCATTTCTATTTTAAATAATTGTACTTTATATTACTTTTTAAACTAACCTCAGGCATTTTCCATTTTTAATAAATAAGTATCTTTCAAATCAGCTGATCCAAATCAAATTTTATACTGTCAAATTTTATAAAAATAGATCACTTTGAAGTAAGCATTACTTATTATGAGTAATGTAATACACTTACTATAAAACAGCTTTAAAATTGCTTTATCATAATATTTTCACTGGATAAAGACATTACCAACATTGGATTTTACATATTCTAAAGAATGAGACACCCCATTCTTGATTTTTAACGTGACAAACATAATTTCACCCATCATATAAATAACCCATGCTATAGAGATTAATCACTTTGCACATGTGGGAAAATATATTCAATCAATCAAATCTTAACTTAAAAGAATGAACATAACCAACATTTAACATGTAGTATATATCAGAACTTAAGATTGAATATAGGTGATATAACTGACAGAAATTAACAGACTCTTCATTTAGCTTGTTCATACTGCAAACAGATATGTTTTTGTAAAATCTAGTCTGCCTCAATTATAAGTGCCTAGAAACTAGTAGAACAGGTTTTATATTTCACATAGGCAACACCAAGACAACAAAAGAATAATATAGCTATAAAAATTTGATTTAAACACATATTTCAGTGCTTTGAATTCAAAAGTAAACATAAAGATTAGTCATTAATTTGCTGATGGTTCTTAACATTTCTTGGCTACCTACCAACATTTGTACATTTAAAGCTGTGTAGAAAACCAGTATTTCTTCACTATGGCCACTAGATGGCAGAGACTTGGAGACTCGGTCTTGGCCTAAAAGTAGTTTAAACAAAACAAAACAAAACACAAAACAAAATTTTATGGGAATGGTGGGCATAGAGAAATATATTTTATAATACTTTGGATCAAAGAAGCAAAAAAATTAATCATTAATCTTTCCTTATACCATATTTAGGTTTCCTATATAAAGATTTAGGATATTAGAATTTTGCAATTTGGCATACATGGCAGTAGGGAAGAAAATTGGTGGTGAAAGACAAAAAAAATTTTCCGTGAAATCTGTCTGTTTTTCACTAAAAGAAATATTACAGTAGAAGAACAATAAAGGGAATCTATAGAAGTTAAAACTCATGGTTCTCCCCTCCACTCACTTTGGAATGAACATAGATAAATATATGTATGCAACTATTAAAAACATACTCTTACATATTAATAAATTAGCTGAATTTCAATTTAAGCCATCTGGTGGCATACTGAGCTATGTAGATGCCTTTAAATGCAACTTTGTATTTATAAATCCCAATAGTAATTTTTACTCCAAATAACATTTTAACAGCTTTATTGAAATAAAATTCACATACCATATAATTCGAGCACTCAAGGTGTACAATTAAGTATTTTTCAGTATAACCACAAAGCTATACAACCATTACCACAATCTAATTTTATAATATTCTGTCCCCTTTAAAAGAAACTCTGTAGCAATTGGCTGTCAGTACTCATCTCCTTTACTACCCATCTCAGTAACTAATTTACTTTATGTGTCTATGGATTTGCTTATTTGGGGTTTTTCATGTAGATGGAATTGCACAATATATGGTCCATTGTGATTAGCTTCATACCCTTATTGTAATGTTTTCAAGGTTAATTCATGTTGTCTCGTGTATCAGAACTTCATTCCTTTTTATGGCTGAAAATATTCCATCCTATATATATATCTCACTTTCTTTATCCATTCATCAGTTGATAGACATTGATAGACAATATTTATTTGAGAGACAGAGAGAGTATGAGTGGAGGGGAGGGGCTTTTGGCTATTTTAAATAATGTTACTATGAACAATGGTACACAAGTATCTATTTGAATCTCTGTTTTCAAATTTTGGGTCACATACCTAGGAGCGGAATTACCGGGTCATAGAATTCTATGTTTAGCTTTTTGAGCAAATGTCAAACTGTTTTCCAGAGTGGCTGCACCATTTTACATTCCCATTAGTGATGCACAAGTGTTCCAAGTGCTATTTTCTGGAGATTGTTTTTTATAACCATCTTAGAGTGTATGAAGTGGTATTTCATTGTGGCTTTCATTGTATTTTTGGTTTTCAAAAACCAGTTTTTCTATCTCCTACTTCATCTTGACTTTGAACATATTACTTATGAATTATAAAATTCTCAAATTTTATGACATGACACTGTTAAATTCACTGAATTCTTATTTATATCTATTCATTTTGGCTCTTGATAAAAATTACTATAAAGAAACTTGTTTAGAAGACTACTCATAGTAAAACATCATGTTACTAACTGGTCAAATTTTTTCACAAGTGCTGTTTTTCAGACTTGACTGCAATCTACTAGTGGCAATGGCAGAGGACACAAAATGCTTCCTATATTTATTTAATAAAAGTGATATACAGGGGTGCGTGGGTGGCTTAGTCAGTTAAGTGTCTGCCTCTGGCTCAGGTCATGATCCCAGGGTCCTGGAATGGAGTCCCATGTTGGGCTTCCACTCAGCAGGGAGTCAGCTTCTCCCTCTCCCTCTGCCCTTCTCTCCACCCCACCTCCCCACCCCCCACTCATGCTCTCTCTCTGTCTCTCAAATAAATAAATAAAATATTTTTTAAGTGATATACAATGTGGTGAGGACAACTACTACCACCTGTTATTGAACATTGTACCAGTCATTTACATATGATTAGCCGCTGGTTTGAGGCAGCAAATTTAGTAAACTACTGAACTTGGATTCAACAAGAGATATCTGACTTCTAAGGGCAGTTGTTCTGGCTTCTTTATTGTGTCCGTGGAGATGATAGGATTGTATTAAATTTCCCAATGAAGATGTAATATATGTGTCTGTAGGCCTATAGACAGGATTTGAATTTGTAATGATAACACCAAGGAGGCCTGGGGACAATAAGACCTCCTATTTCAAAATGTGTACCCACCCAACATTTTAATACAAATATATATATAACTGTAAGAAGCAGAATGTGAAGCATGACAGTATTCATTCATTTGTTCTTTCCTTTTTTCATTCATTCAGCAAATATTTAGAGAGTGATGATCCTATGTTACACAATGCCCTAGGCACTGAAGATACATTGATGAACAATAAAAATCCTGCACTTGGGGACCTCCCTTGTAGTGAATAGACACAGAGAAGAAATGCAGGTACCTAATAATAAAATAAGCTCATTTTTGATGATGAAAGAAAGCTCAAAAAGATTTCAAAAGAGTGATGAAATAAAGAGTTGTGGCAGCGAGGGGCTACATTGGCTCAGAGAGTCAGACAAGATCTCTCTGTGAAGGTGACATTTGCACTTACACCAAAAAAGATGAGAAAGAGCCAACTATGTCACAATCTGAGAAAATAGAGTGCCAGGCGGAAGGAACAGACAAAGCAAGTGAAAACATATGGAGATGACAACTAGCATAGCTGTTGCAGGAAGAGGCAGATGGCTACAGAGGTTGGAACATAGTAGATGGCAATGAGAGTGGTGGTGATGAATCTGGGGAACAGGTGAGATCAGGTTGTGCAGGCTTGTTGGCCATGATAAGGACTTTGGGCATTGGTCTAATTGAAGGGAGTAGACTTTAGAGGATTTCAAGCAAAAAAAAAAAAAATAACATGATCAGTGGATATAGTAGAAGTGATTATGTGTATTTTAGAACTAGATATATTTTCAAAGTAGTATATATTTTAGAAGTAGAACCAAGAATATCTTGCTGACATATCAGATATTACAGTTAACAGAAATAAAGGACTTACATTTATAAGAAGGTCTTAAATTAGAAAATATAATTCATGTTTTTGTTTTTGTTTTGTAAAACAGAAAAGAAAATGTAAATTTCCTAACATGGTTGAAATTAAAATAAGAGGAAAATCTCTATTTCTCACTTTTTTCCTCTGGAGGAAATTTTAAATTTTCCATCACTACATCAGATTATGCATTCCAACAATTTTAATCACACCATGCCTCTGCCAGTAATGACACATAGTTTATTATATTTATTGTTATATACAGAACATTGTTCTTAGAAAAAAGAATAAACTACTTTATTATAATTACCAAAGGGCTCTTCATTTAAATAGTTACATGTGTTCCTGGTGGTAGACAGGGGTAGCTGCCCCACAATCACAGCCTCTGTCCCTGCAAACTACCTTGATCTGTAATCCCACCTGAGAAACCAGCCAGACATCCATGTTTGTACCACATACTTTCATTTCCTAACCCCAAGACACATGTGAATGGACCAAGATTACCCATGGCTGGCTAATTTATTGGCAGAGGATTGATAGAACAGAGACAAAAAAGACCCCCTTCAGGTGTTGGTTCTGGAGCTGAAAGGCCAAAGATAAAGAGCTTGAAGCCAAACCACAGTAAAACAAAGCCAAGCACATGCTGCAGTTAGAGGGGAGCAAAAATTGTGAATAGCGGGCTAGCGTAGGAGAGAGGGAAGATGAGGCTGGGATGAAGGCAGTAGAAAGTGGCAGACCAAAAAGCAGAAACAAGAGAGCATGCAGACTCAGAATTTAAGAATCTTTTGGTTTGGGTGGGTGTCTTACAACTAGAATTGCTGGCTAAGACACTCCCTTACTCCATTTAAAATATGCTGCTATTTACAAGTACTTGGCTTTCACTTAACTTTTTAAAAAAAAGATTTATTTATTTGAGAGAGAGTGTGAGAGCAGGGGTAGGGAATACAGGTGCAGGGTGCAGTAGGGGAGGAGAGTCAGAAGGAGAGGGAAAGAAAATCTCAAGCAGACTCCATGCTGAGTGCAGAGCCTGACTCAGGGCTCAATCTTACAACCTATGCCCCTCACTTAACCTTTTTTCAAGGCCTGGCTTTAGGAGGGCCACTGTTGGATATTGTTCAACAACTGATCTATCTTTTCCATTTCAAAGAAACAATGGTTCTCTCTCAGAGTATGAGTCTTTCAAGATAGCATCAGGCTACCAAGGTCATGAAACACTGTGATTCTGAGAAAGAGAAGAAAGTTAAAAATTACAGCTCCTTTTTCCACGAACCTTTAACTGATATTATTCATGCCACTCAAAACTTTCAGGATGGTCACAAACTAAGAGTGAAAACTGTAAGAAAAAGCAAAACTGACCAATTTTATTTGATCCAGCCCCAGTTTGCTAGCTGAGATTAGAATATGTTTGGTGATAAGGTGCAGTATATGAGAGTTACAGGTGTGTTATCACATTGTGCTATAACATGGGGCCAAAATAAAAAGAAACTGTGAAGGGCTATCACTAGAAATATGTGGGAACCTGATAAGGAAAAGGAAGTCTGGAATGTGACAAAGTCCACAGATAAATTTAATCAAGTGTAGCAAAACTCTAATAAATATTCTGGGCACCAAAAGATCTGAAATAGAAACAAAGATAATGTGATACATTTTTAATTGTATACTCCCACCCATACTATCTTCCTATGTATATCCTATATGTATATACGTATAAATTCATGAAGAAAGGGCTTCAAGAAGACACACCAACTGGTTATAGCCATAATTGCCTCTGGAGAAGCCATCAGGGAACAGCAGTAGTCAGAGGGAACTTGGGCTTTATCCCAAATGTCTGATTTTGGTTCGTTTTGTTGTGTGTGTGTGTTTTTTTTTTTTTTTACAATGAGAGTATATTCATGAATTTCTTCTATAATTAAGCATGTCTTTTAATTATATAAGAGAAATATGAAGAAAAGTTTTAAGTGAAAGAAATTCTTAAAATCATGAGAACTATGCTAATGTGAAAAGAGTTGCAAAGGTCAAGGATGCAATGTTGCCCCATTTGCCAACATGCGAATCTATGGAAATCATGCCTAAAGGCTTACAAATTCATACTACCAAATTCTGACACAAAACTTTTTTTACAAGTCCCTCTAGCCAATTGTTTCATTGAAATGGGAAAGGATAAGATCTACTACTGCTAAATGAGTAAGCTGTGTTAATTCGAAAGTACTAGATTCCATTAGAGTTTCAGTTCTCAGCAAAAGATGAATTGTTCTGGATCTTTCTCACCCAAACTTGATAAAATTTGAAAAGATGGCCCTGTGAAAAATCTGATAAGAGATCAGCTAAAGTGGTAGTGCTAAAGGACCCTCACTTCAAAGCCTTAATGCTTTATGCTTCTGTTGCAATAAGTTAGCAGTGGACAACCAGGAAACAATGAATGATAGGCAAGCCATTCCAAGAATTGCTATTAAGAGCACAACCTAAAGTTGAAATACCAATCTTGTCATTTTTTAATCACTCTGTTCAAGCCACCTTGTTATTTAATGTATAACTGAGATTTCTAACATCAAGCCAAAAATTTCCCCAACCCTTTATACTAATCACACTTTCAAAACATGATTTTAAAAAAGAAAGAGAAGATAAGAAAAAAGAATAGTGAGAAATTTACTTGCTTGGGTGCCAGATATCTCAAAGCTTTCCAAAAGCATGACCTAATCTAAAATGTTCTAGAAGCAAAAGATAAAGTCATATTTATTTCCATTAACCTTACAGACATCTTACCTAACGCATTGACGGTGTTTAGAAGGAAAATCTGGAAGATGAGATCATGATTTTCAGGCTAAAAAAAAAAAAACACCATCTGAAAAACTACGTGTTAGAAAAATTTTCAGAATGTCTAGGAGAAGGAATATAAAAGGAAATTTTCCTTGGAATTATTTCCTTCTGTTTTTGAGGGGGAAAACACAAAAAGACTTTTTAAAGCACTCTTTTATGTGTGCATGTGTGTGTGAGTGTGCCACCAAATCACAGTTAAAGGGTGACAGACTTCCAACTGACTTCCCATTAATAACTCCAGCTTTGTACACATCCATCCATTCTCTTAGACAAGGCCTGTGTGCCCCAAACCATGCATTTTTACAATGGCTGGAGATAGCCTAGGAGTGGTCCTGTAGGCCCCAAAGCAAGATCTCACTGGATTCTGGTAGAATTAAACTCATGATCCTGGCATCTGCTAGGCTGTAATCAAAAGAGTTTATAAACAATAACTGCTCATGTAAAAGCAGTTTTCAAGAGTAATGATGGTATGAACAGTATTTGAGAAAATAAAAGTATGTTAGCGAAGACTTGAATAGTAAATAGTATAGAATACATTTCTATTTTCAAATCATGTCCAAAATACTTCTTTGCTGTTGTTTTTAAACCTTAGATAGCTTTTGGTGAAATAATTTTGAATGTATTTTTTAAACCTAAAGTTTTGTTTTTGTGTGTTTTAAAAGTCTACCTTCTCAAAAAATAATCTGTATCAAAAATCAGTTCATAAGACTGTGAGTTAAGGATTCATTGCTATGGGAACCATAAGAAGCTCTTGATCAGCTAAAGTTGGAGCAAGTTAGTAATTAATAAACTAGTAAGCTAGTAAACTAACAAATTTTCTGCTGATATAGAAAAATAAAAGCAACCACAAGGTTTAACACAAACTACCAGCAATATTTACCTGCATAGATAATGGCTCTTAGTAGATCCCAAGTGAACGCAGTGGCCAGAAAAACCAGGAGTGAAAAACTGTGATGGTTAGTTTTATGTGCTAACTTGGGTGTGCTATGGCATCCAGATATTTGGTCAAGTGCCAGCCTTGATGTTGCTGTAAAGGTATTTTTTAGATGATAATTAACATTTACTACAGCAGTGGACTTAAAGTAAAGCAGATTATACTCTATAATGTGGATAGGCCTCATCCAAGGCTTTAAGAGAAAACAGACTGAGGTTCCTCAGAGGAAGAAGTAAATCTGTCTGCAGTCTGCCTTTGAGCCCTAGATGCAACATCAAACACTTACCTGTGTTTCCAGCCTGTTGTTCAATCAACCCAGATTTGGACTTGCTGGCCTGTACAATAATGTAAGCCAATTCTTCAGATCCCTCTGTGTCTCTCTCCATTTCCATCTGTTCCTGTCTCTCCATAAATATATATATATATAAATTTATATTTATATATATAAATATATGTGCATATATACATACATACACATACATCCTACTGGTTCTGTACTTCTGGACAACTCTAATACAGGAACCAAAAACAAACAGTTTCTCTCTTGCCTTAGCAGGTTTTTCCTCCTAAAAATTAAAGGGGGGGAGGGGAGAAAAAGACAAATACCTGTCCCATGATTACTTTTAAATATCTGCATCTCCAAGGAAAAAGTGAAGGCAAAGATCTTGGGTTCATTTATTCCACAAATGCTTTTGGGGCACCCACTCCACAGCAAACCCTGCACCACCCCCATTCTCCTAGAGAATGCAGCAGAGAATGAAAGGCCTCAGCCCTTGTGGGGTTTACCATCTAGTAACAAGATGCAGATGATAGACAAATAAATATACAATGGATTAAATTGTAAGTGCTAGGAATTAATTGTAAGTGTAAGTGCTAGGAATAAAAGTAAAGCTGGAAAGGGATAGAGAAGAGGGGTTGCTATTTTAAATGTGGTGAGCAGGGATGGCCAAAAGGATATCAACAGAAGTGAGTGCCAGGCTCAGGAAAGAGCATGTGCAAAGGTGCAGGAAGGGCATGTGCCTGGTATATTCATAGAACAGCAGGAAGCCCAGTCTGGCTGGAGCAGACTCATCCAGGGAGAGAATAATGGAAGACAAAATCTTTCTCTGAGTGAGGTGAGAAACTATTAGAAGGTCTTAGAATGACATGGTTTGACATGATTCTGAACAATACTCTGGCTGCTGTCTGGAGGATAGATTATAGGAGGGCAAGAGTAGACTAAGGGAGACCTTTAAGATGCTATACTCCAGGCAAGAAGAAATGGTAACTATAGTCATTCAGTGGTAGTTATGCAATCCCATTGATACAGGGACATCAGAATTCCAAATTAGAGATGGCCCTTTTGAAAATACCAGTTTGAAGGCTGCAGTTGATTATGGCATGGAGTGATGATCAAGGCTTATGCATAAACCCAAGTAAGCATTCTTGGAAGTCCCTTGGCAGGGGACAGGCAGGAGGATCCATCAGAGACATTGCAATTACAAGAACTACATTTATAATCATAGCTAAAAATGCTTGAGATGTTCAAATTTCACAGCTATAAAGAAAGGGTGTGGGAACAAAAGGGACATAGTGTGCTCTGCTGTCAAAAAAAAAAAGGGAGCAATGGCTTTCCTACTCTGTCTCTAGAATTATCCCAGATAGGCAAAATGTTGGCCATGTTTTCGCATTCAGTCTGGCTTCTTGGCACATATATCCGTATAACACAGACAGATGCATCAGGCTGTCTTGGCAACAGCCATTATGATCATCCACTTTAGTCTTCTTGCAATGATTCAATGCTCAATAACAAACTGAATATAATGTAGCTTCCCATGGAGAATTTCCTATGAGAAGTGAGTTCCTATACTAGTGATCATGAACTTTAAATTCTGCTTGATTTATGCTTTATTTATGCTTCTCAATGTAAGTTAATAAACAGGTTCAGTGTACTATTTATATGAAGGTCATGAGTCTAACTCATAGAAATCAACATTCTTATATCTGAATGCTAAGGAAATTTCAGGGCTCTGTCTTGCTAAACCAAGGAGTAGACTATAAATCCATGGCAACGCTCTCGAGAATTTCAGCATTAACAGGCCAGTCTCTCAGGTAATTTGAGTTGTCCTTTGAAAGAGAATAAGAGTTTATTAGGTGAAGAATTCAGGAGGAAAGTGCAAAACCAGAGACAGAAAATGGAGAAATGTGTCATCATTTAACATAAATGAAGCAGAGACCGAGTGTTTGAGCAATATCAGGAGAGAAGTTTGGGAAAGATTTTGGGGTCAGAATATCTCTTGAATGCCATAATGAAAAGTCTGGATTCTTTCCTAAGGCCAGAGAGAATGGGAGCTATTTGTAAGCTGAAGAGAAATACAGAGGAGGGGTGCCTGGATGGCTCAGTCAGTGTCGTATCTGCCTTTTAGCTCAGGTCATGATCCTTGGGTCCTGGGATCAAGTGCCGCATTGAGATCTTTGCTCAGCAAGGAGCCTGCTTCTCTGTTTCCCTCTGACCTCCCCCACTCGCCCCCCGCAAGCTTCTGCTCCCTCTCTTTCTCTCTCTAATAAATAAAGAAAATCTTTAAATAAAAAGAAATACAGATGAATAGGGATATGTTTTAGAAAATATGTCTGGTGATAGTATGAAGGATTAGACTAGAATAGAGAAAGACTGGATGAACTTCAATGAGTTAGGAAGCGTTTCAGCAGAAAACTATATGGACCTGAATAAAGGCAGAGACAATAGGTACAGACAGGATGGAGAATGAACAAGACAACACAAAATAAGCCATATGTGAATATTAATGGATAAGTACTGATAGAGTTAGCTTAGCCAAATAGTTGGAAAGCAGGCTCTTTCACTGAGATAGGCAATGGAAATGGAGATGCAAGTTTTGGAAGGGGTATGTTGAGCTCAGTTTTAAACATGTTGACTTTGAAATGTCTATGAGTCGTTCAAGTGGAGATGTCCAGAAAGCAAAGGAACACAGGTCTGTAGTTCAGGAGAGTCATATGAATATAAGCTCTAACTTTGGGAATTGCTATACAATAAGCAAACTAATAGATGTCAATGAGTTAGAATTTGACAGTGCTGTGGGTGGTTCAGGGAGTGAGGTATAAGAAGATTAAGAGTGAAATTCCAGACACTCACTATATATAAGGTGTTGACAGAGGTTAAAAGGAGTCATGAAAAGATTCCAAAAAGTAATCAAAAGTATGAGGAGAGAGTAAAATGGGCAATGTTATAAAATCCAACAGAAATATTTTAGGATGAAGAAAGAAGTCAGCATTCCCAAATGCTCCAGAGTGGGCAGAAGAAAATAAAGACAGAAAAAAGGCCATTCCATGTAGCAGTCAAGTCATTGGTGATCCTTGCCAGAACCATTTCAATGTGGTGATGGGGGCAGAAATAAAATTGCAAAGACAGCAGGTGAGAACAACTGTTTCGAGAAGTTTGGAAGAAATCAAATGGCAGCTTGTGAGAGAGGATCAAAGAAAGCATCCCAGACTAAAGACTCTGAGTCTCTTTCTTCTTCTGTATTCCCTCAATCCAATCAACAGTTATGTTCTGTTGATAGTTCATGCAAATTCTTTTCAAAACTGTCCCTTCCTCTCTTTCGGTTGTTTGTCAATCCTTCTTGCTTTATCTCTGATCTACTTCCAATCCTCTGAACAACTTTCCCTGCTTCTGATTGTTCTCCCTCCCAGCCATATACCACATACCTGCTGTCAGATGAATCTTCTAGAATGGCAGTTTCTGAATGTGATTCTCCACTTAAAAAACTTCAATGATTCCTCATTGTCTCGTATTCACACTTCAGCCTGACATCCGACATTTGTCGAGGACTGATTCTCTCTCTACTTCCTACCCTGCTTTAGCCAATATGGACTTCTCAACTGTTCTCATGTTCCAAGCATTGAGCACACTCTTCCTCCTAACTGATATACCATTTGGCTTTTCTCAAGTAATCAATCCTACCTGTCCTTCAGGGATCAAGCTAACTTCCAAGTCTTTATGTAAAGGAAGAAAGAAAAGGATGTGAATTACTAAGCAAGTTCATCTATTTTACCTTACTAGTGGGCTAGAAAGGGAAGGGTGAAAAGAGAAGGGAAAACAGCCGGAGAAAATAAGTAACAATGTCTATATCAATGTGGAGATCAATAACCATGCAATTTTGAAAATAATATTCCTGACTATGCATTTATATACTTTTGGTATTTAAGTTACCTATTTACTCCAAACTGTAATGTCTTGCTTTTACAGTACCATAACAACTGCTGTATTTAAAGGTTTCTAGCATCCTACTGAAAATGTATATGTATAATTGCTATTTGATAGGTTTGGGACCCAGTTTTGTAACTCAACCACTAGAGAAAAATACCCTGGGAACTTTTAAAGAATATGCGCATTCATGGAGAGTCTGTTCTCACATCACTTGGGGGCTACACACCCCCAACTACAAACCCCTGCTCTGTGAGTCCTCACTGATGAATGAGCTGGTTGCCCCAGGTAGGGGTTTGAGAACTATTATAGAGTATGTGAGGGGGGAAAAGTCAGAACTGTTATGAAATATCAAGCTTCCTAGTGAAAAGGAAACACAAAAAATGGAAGAAATTAGTTGGGTGACTTCAATTCCTCAGAATATAAAAAATATCCCCCAGGAAAGTATTAAATGGTATAAGGAGTTTTTTTTCCTCCTGGATAGTCACATAAAAACTTGAAAAATATGTAAGGAATGCAATATCAAAGTAAAAATAAATCAGCCAACAGACTGTCTCCAATCTGTTAGATGACATCCTTAGCATATTTTTTAATTAAAAAAGCTGACTTTTAAAGTTGTTTTGAGAGTCTAAACAACTATTTTGTTTTCCTAATATGACTGCATGTCACTCTGTATTCCTTGTCAATCATATTTATGCTTCTGTGTCCCGTAGACAGATGATGGCTGCTTTTTCCTGCAACACTGTATTAATACCCCTTAATGACATGGATACAATTCCATTGAGGCAGTCATCTCTTTATTCAGTTTATGAACGCCAAATAGTCCCAAGCTGTTTTGATGACTAGTACCTTAGACCTGTGTAATTATTGTTTTACTCATAGCAATGATAGTTGCTATCTTAGATTTTAATGGTTTTGTGTCTATTTTCATTAACAAAAGAAAACAGAACAGTTTGAAATGAGTTGGCACTCAGCTCTGATGAAAGATACTAAGGTACCAAAAGTTCAAATTCCATCCCATAATTTTTAAAATCAGAGACATGCCCCATCACTTGCTTTTTTAGCTTTCACTCATGGTGAACATCAGAATCACTTACTCACAGGTGCTTGTTAAACTCACAGATTTCCACACTGGGAAATTACGAGGTCAAAAAATCTGCATCTAAAACAAGAATTCAGGATGGTCCTTGAACTCTAGTTTGAAAATTACTGACCAACTTCTTCACTTACACATAATGAAACTGAGCCCAAGAGGTTAAATAACTTGCCCAGAGTCACATAGCTAAATAATGACAATCAAGTGTGGAACTGAGGTAGCCTAACTCCCAGCTCTGTGCCCTTCCCATCCTGACACCCTGACACCCATCCTGACTACCCTTCCCCTAAATTCCTTCAACGGAAGCAGTCACCTCTTCGGCCCCTCCTATGAAGAGAAGCTCACACACAGTATTTTGTAGGTACCATATACCAGAAAGAAGTTACCAATGAGTGAATAGAAGAAAGACTGCTCTCATAAGGGGAGTTCAAACTATACAAGCACCAGTGGAACATTATGGCAAAATGTCAAGAGCTTTCTGAGAGATCCAAAGGATACCATGATATGGCAAGTTTACTTATTTACCCACTTAATGTGACTAAAAACATAAAAAGAATAAAAACAAGATTTGATAACAACTAAGTATAACTAAATCTCAGAAAGGCTACATCCTAAATTTATCTTAGCTTTCTGAATTTCAGCTTATTCTCTGTGAAAATATATACTATACAGGATTATCCTGAGTACAACAATATGATATGAACAGTGTTTCATGCAGTCCTAGCACATGGTAGATACTCAGTGAAATTTTTAAAAAAACATATGATGGGAAGACCAGGGAGATTACAGTTACATACATACCACAGTAGAATTGTTGATGCTTCCCATCAGTAGAGTGCTGTAGAAATTAAAAACATAGCAGATTGAAGACAGATTTAGGAGATTTGAGGGAACACTTATGTATGAAAACATGGATGGAGCTAATAGAATACAATGTTGAACAAAAGAAGACATAGTAACATAAACACTATGACTGTAAACATTAAAAACAGGCATGACAAAACTATATTTTGGGGAATTCACATTTAGGAGGCAAAACTACAAAGCAAAGCAAGCAATTAATGAAAACACCAGGATGATTGTTTCCTCTAAAGGGTACAGAGGGAGTTGTCATGAGGAAAGACACATGAGGGACTTCTGGGGTAATGGCCATATTGTGTTTTTTGAACTAGGTAGTAGTTTCATTAGTATTCCCTTTAACATAATTATCTATTTTTGTATTTCATGCATTTATATGTATGTATGTTATATTTTACAGTAAAAACTTTTAAAGGTTTTTTTAAAAAAGAAACAGAGAGACAGAAACCTAGGCAGAGGGAGAAGAAGGCTCCTTGCGGGGAGCCCGATGAGGGACTCCATTCCAGGACCCTGGGATCATGACCTGTGCCAAAGGCAGACTTCAACCACAGAGCCACCCAGGCGTCCCTAAATGTTTTTAAAAAGACAAATTTAGTAGATAAACCTAGAAGGAGGCACTAGACATTCTTATTATAGACATTTGAGTTGTGTTTCCACATGAACTACCAAGATAATAGAGTACAGCTGTGCAGCAGGCTTATGTAAATATTTATCTGTGTACTGGCCCAGACAACTCACCCTGGAGGTGTTGTGAAGTTTAATTGGAAGGCATTTGATCAAAGGTTGCCAGGATCCATTCAACACAAATATATAGCCAATCTAATTCCATATGACTTACTAGTTGAGTGATGATTATATTCAAAGTCATCATAGTCTTAAAAATAGTCATGTTTGTTTGTTCCAACAATGCTTTCAGACATAGTTTCTATGGTTCCCAATTCCATATGGAGAAATAATGTATGTCCTGAAGGGGAAGATGACTAATTTTTTGAGCTTTACAAGGGCAAAAGTTGTTGATTTGCTACTTTTGCTTAACACATCTATAGCAAAATAAATGCAGGATATTTTCAGAGACTAAACTAAAACTTTAACTGAGACATTAGAAGATGAAAATATAGTCAATGGTGATGGTTTATCATTCCATTATTTGAATTGACTAATGCTATCTTGATACCTCAATGAGACTGTTTGGGATGTGGTGCCTATGTGTGTTGTATCATTTGTTTTAAGTTGCAGAATAGCTAGAAACTTAAAATTAAAAAAAAAATGGTCGCAGAGTTAGTGACGACTGTTTCCACACATTTGAATTTAAATGTTTCTAATTTCCTGTGGTTTATTATCTAAAGCCAGAAGAAATGGACCTAACTTAATAATATGCTACTTCAAAATTAATTAATCATATTTACCTTAATGAAATCTGTCATACAAACAAAACAGTAGTTTAAACGCACAACCTAAATAATAATAATAAAAAAGAATAATAATAAAGCAAACACCCATGCACCCACCACAGAATTTAAGAAATATAATATAACAAAATCTTTGGTTCCCCCTCTCCTTTATAAGAGATGAAAGCTGACCCTAATTTAATGAACATCACTCCATGCTTTTCTCTGCAGTTTTGCCACCTGTATGCAGTATATAAAATTATGCATATGTTTAACTTTATATTTTTAAGATGTATTTATTTATTTGAGATAGAGCTCAAGTAGGGGGGTGGCAGGGAAGAGGAGCAGAGAAAGAAGGAGAAAGGGAATCCCAAGCAGACTCCCTGCTGAGCATGGAACCTGGTGCAGCTCAACCTCACCACCCTGAGACTGTGACCTGAGTTGAAACCAAGAGTTGTATGCTCAACTGACTGAGCCACCCAAGCACCCCTAGTTTTACATGTTTTTAAGCATTATATAAATGAAATCATGTGATAACATTCTTCAATAAATTTTCTGCATTCAGCATTACATTTTTTAGATTTGCCATGTCGATAAATGTATCTGTACTTCATTTTGTTCAATGTTATATATCCAGTTGTATCAGTATGTACCATAAAGTACTCCTTCTTATATTCATGCAGAAGGCATTTGGATTGTTTCCAGTTTCAGTTTTTCTTTTGCTTTTTCCTATTACAAAAAACAATGCTGAGCACAATCTTAGACATGTCTCTTGGCACATAGGCGAAAGTTTCATGAGTGAATATCTAGGAGTGGAATTCCTAGATTATAAGTATGCATATCTTTAACCTCAGCAGATAATGCCAAATTATTTTTCCAAAGTGGTTGTACAAGTTTATATTCTTCAATGTTTGAGTTTACTTTTCAATCCCATTTATTCAGTTACAAATAAAGCAACAGTATGAACTTTCCTTTGTAGATCCTCTTGGTTACGAGTATTAGAAGCAAACTCTAAAAGGAGAAATTGATCGGCTCACATAACCATACTGTAAAAAGGGTAAAGGTAGAGTTGGCCTTGGATGTGAATTTGAATTCATCAGGAAATGAAATTTGAATTTCATCAGGACTTCTCTGGCTCTTATTTCTGCTTCTCAATGAATGTGCTGGTGTCATTCTCTCAGAATGTCTCTCTGTCAAGCAAAGGGACATTGTTTCTGTAGATCCAGATTCACTTCCTTCCAATTTCTTCTCTGTTCCAGGTTGAAATATCCTGACCAGATCTGTGATTGGATCAGCCTGGGTTACAAGATCATACCTTAAATTAATTATCACTGTGGCCAGTGGGTGATGCACTCTGATTAGGTCACATGACCATTTATGTGGCCAGAGGATTAGGGACTTTGTTGTCATATAAGAGGGAAGAGAAAATGAGCAGATAACAAATATGCACTAGTGTGGGCAAAACCAGTAAAGAATTATTATAACTGGGATTGTGGCTAAATGCAATAAATCTCTTATCTAAACCTCACGTGGATAAAAATTATCCTTTTTACCCCCTAGAAACCAGAGGACACAGAGGGTATCACAGTGGAAGACCTTGATTCTTCCACAATCAGGAAGTCAAGGAAGGCACACCTCTCTCTCCACTTACATAGGCACCACATGTGAAGGAGTCACAAGCAGGAGATGTGAGAATGGAAGGTATCTGAGAGCTTGAGCGTATCCTCCTTGAGACTGAACTTTACCCAGAAGGATTCTTTAGGTTATAGGGCTAGAGTAAGTTTTAAATGTCATAGGCTTAACAGGTATTTCCACTTATCAGAAGCTGGAAGCTTCAAAAAAGATCTGAATTGTTACAGACAGAAACAGACAACATATATTC